ATGAATTTCTTTCTTTGCTTCTTCTTCCTATTTGTCGTGTCCGGCTAATGCAAATCACAGCAAATGAAACAAATTACCTAATTTTGCTTGCTTTCGCTGAGATTCAAATATTGTTATTCGAAGTTTTTGTGTATTTTATTTTTTATAATGATGGTAAGTTACACCTTTGAATGAGAATGACTTCATCACAGGTCTGTGCATTCTATAGTTTTGTCTTCTACTTCCAAGAACTGCACTCAGATCTATAGTTAATTTTCATAAACAAAACATACCTTCTTTTGTAGATAAATTGTAGATAAATTGTAGAAAAATTAGAAAAATTGTAGATAAATTGTAGAGTATTTTTTGCAGAAGATTTTGTAGAAGCTTTAGTCGTTTTGGATTTGTGAAAACAGAAAATAATGCATCTACAATCAGAATACAAATAATCTACAATATTTCTACAAACTGGATACATTGAATTTTAATATCCCAATTCCCATTTCAATTGTAGCATTATTGGCATTTTCGACATAATTGTAGAAGATTTGTAGAAGTTTTAGTCTTCCCAATTTACAATTTATCTACAATTCTACAATTTATCTAAAATTTCTGGAAATATGTCTTCTCCTTCTTCTTCTTCGAGTTTCAATCTGAAATTCAGTCAAAACCAAGTCTAATCTTCACCAAAACCCCTCAATATTGAGATATAAACTCCAAACCATATTCCCGATTATTTTCAACAATACCCAATCCAAATAAATAATGATTTTTGAAAAACCAAATTTGAATTCAAAGCTTTCAAACTTTTTAATGGCTATCAATGGTGGAAAATATATGGAAGAACAGATGAAGATGAAGATGAAGAACATAAATCTCCTTTCCGTTTCAAAATTACGCAGCTTCGAGATCTCGTTTCCGTTTCAAATTTTGAATTTAATGTGGAATAAATCAATCCCAGATTCTGTGGCTGATTTTTCGCGCGCTAAAAATGGCAGATTCTGCCTAAATAACGAATGGTATATAAATTGTAGATAAACTGTGGACTGGGCGGGTAATATACATACTATGCACATATTTGGTAATAAGGCTTCATATATGATATAGTTAGGAAAAAATCCCTTTTTTTAATTGTAATACACCTGTCACCAATTTTGGAACTTCTGGTGCACTGGCTTGTAGATTAATCATGAATCAGAAAAACAAGATCTATGAAATAATTTTTCTTTACTTTATATCTAACAGGACCATTATAATCTTCTTTGAAACTATAAAAGATTTTTTTTTTTTTTTTAAAAAAATTATTTTTTCAATTTTATGTGACAAGTTTTTATTTTTCGTCTGTCCTAAAATTGATACTTTTCTCTTCTTCCAAACTATTTGATCTTAACATTTTTATTTTACCTTTAGTGGCATGGCTTGTTCTGCCCACTTAATATAAAAAAATATTTTTTGTAAGGGAAGAAAAAATAAAAAGACATGTGGAACTCTAATTATCACACACCTAAAACGATAATCTTGGTATTTTGTATACTTTTGGCATATATATCAAAATTTCTTTAATTTTCCAAACTCCGTATCTAATTAAACATCTTCACATAAAATAGGAAGCCGAAAGAGTAGAATTTTTTCACAAAAGAAATGCAAAATTTATTGTTAAATTCTACTGGTTTAGTGGATATGTATGAGACAATAACATCATATCAAAAAGCAAATAATGGTATATAATGAGTGATTTATATGTTTCACTTTACCCACCAATTCTATTCTTTTATTCACCTCTTTGGACTTTGCTTAATGATTGAAAAACCTGAGTGCGGTTTCCCTATTGCTTAGATATGGACTTAACTATTGCCACTAGGCCCAACTAAGGCCCACTAGGTGGGCCCAAATCTAATATCCGTTTTCATTTTCAATGAGATAATGTTGTATTGCATTTCATCATTATAGAGACACAATTAATTCCCTTCTAGGAATAATACAAATGGCTGATGTCAATAACAACATCTCTTGTCGCTTCCATATTAGACTCATATACAATCTAAGATTTACAGTGAAAATTTAATTTAATTTTTATTTATAACAGTGGTACGGAATCAGCTAATATGTAACTCGACTATTTCACCTGAAACTTATTACTCTACCTTCTATTAGTGTAAGCATCGGGTTATTTTATCAACTAAAGTTTAGACAAATAAAAAGAAATTATCTTAGGCTCATTGACCACTATCTCACGGCCACACCCCGAAGGTTGGGGTGTGATAAACCCGAATCTCACTTAGTAAAATGGTGGGTCAAACTTCAGTGAGGACGCTGAGTTCGTGCGAACCTAGGTCCAACGCGGACAATACGCATCATGAGCTTGGGTCGTGACAGTAACACTCTAAAAAGTGCCGGTCTTTAATTTAGTTATATGAGATCTTAAGAATTAAAATTGTGTCAAATTTCAACAATATGTAAGTTCTTTAAGTTTGTTCATTGTAATTTGTCTTAGTAATGTTCTCTTTGCTAATGTAAGGTGGACAAAAACCGCACCTACTTATCCATGCTCAGAACATAGTAATTAGTGAGTAACTAATGTTCATTTAGACTTCATCAGGAGACGTGAAAGATGTCTGAAATTTACATATTACAATTGGTAAAAATGGACTTTTTTTGCTAACTCGAACACATTTAAGTTCATTAATTTTGTTTTTGAATTGCATTTGTGGGTATTTCTTGTTTGATTCGTCATTTCCTTTTGTATTACAAGCTTATTTATATTGATATTATTGTTGTTGTCATTGTTATCACTAACACAATAAATAATCGGGTCTAGAATTAGTAATTAATTTTTGTATTTACTCTCTCCCGTAAAGAAGAAAAGTAGGACGGAAGATCACATGGGCGGAGCTAGGGACGCAAAGGGATATTCATCAGAACCCCCTTCGCGTATAAATTTCAGATGTATTTTATGTATATATAGTGAGTGTTGAATTCCATTTGGTTTTTTCATATGTTTAGTTTTTATATTCTGAATTTCTTAATAAAAATCTTGGCTCCGCCACATGAAACGGGGGCATTATGATATTCTTATGCATTTAAATAACTTGAATAATTCTGTTAAAGAGAAAGGAAAAAAAACGAGTGTGACAAATTTATGCATTTTAATTCTTAAGAATTTAAATAACTTGAATATTTTTGTTAAAGAGGAAAAAGAGCTCAATGCAAAGAGAAAGGGTGTGACAAATTTATGCATTTTTATTCCTATGCGTTTAAATAACTTAAATAATCTTGTTAATGAGGAAAAAAGAGCTTAATGCAAAAGAGGAAGTGTGTGACAAATTTAAGCAATTTAGGGTAAGTTCGGTTTTATTTAGAATAGAATCTTATAAAAGGGGCTTTCTTCCTGCCAAGCTAGTTATAGTATGAAGCCAAATTATTTTCACATGTAAAGAGGTACTCCTTCCCGTTCAAAATAAGTGACTAATTTGCTTTTTTATTTTGGTTCAAAATAAGTGTCCAGTTATGTAATTAAGAAAGAATTCAATTTGTTTTTACAAAATAACCCCTATGTACATATCCTTAAAAAGTTTTCTTACTCCTCACATTAAATGTTTAATTAGGGATAGTTTAGTCATAGTAGGTATTTTTGTATAGAATTTAGTATTTTCTTAATGGGCGTGCTAAAAGCAAATTGGTCGCTTATTGTGAACCGGAGAGACTATCAATGAAATTGGCTATGAGAAAGAATTTTGTAATAGCACATGAAAATAGAATCCGCAAAGCATGCTTCATGTCTTTAGGTTCATTGTCATGACTCACGTGATTCATCATCAATATTCAACAAACTGCGCCCAGCAAAGCTGCAAAAAAGAAAGGATCGGAGTTCCTTCCTGGTTTTGCCTTGCACATGTCGTATCCGTGATTATAATGGTCGTGTTCGAGTCTGTTTGTGTACCTTGATTATTTCCGTCGATATTTGCTATATATCTCCTAATAATACATGTATTAGATAATTTTGTCTATTAAGATTTTCAAATAGGTATTGCGAATAGATGTTGCGAGTACTATTGATAGTTTCTATCGTTGGATGAAAGTTAAAAAGTGTATGAAAACCTTTTTCTTTTACTATTATCGAAGAACAGAAAGTCAACAACAATAACAACAAACAATATAATCCTACGAGTTGTGGAGGGTAGTGAGTACACAGTGTTTGACTCAAAAGTTATTACATACCTTATGAGTATAAAACAATATAAATAAATCACGGGAAAATCATAGCAAACCGTATTAATCCGTTGGACCAAATGAAGGAAACGAAAATAAGTACTCAGGATTAGGGGAGAAACATTAGAAGCCTTTATTGATAATATTGGTTTGGTCTGCCTCTCCATGAAGAGGTTCAGAGCCTTACAATGGTGTTCCTCTTGCCCATAATTTGAGTATCGTTGTCTCTTTTCTCTCTCTCAATAGTGGTGAAGAAGAAGCCCCCCCCTTTCTAGGGTTTCCTCTCTTGGTATTTATAGCTGTGAGCTTCATGAGCTGGCAATAAGTGGCCGTGACCACGTTGGGATTTCGCCTTCATGGTGGCGGATAGGCCATGGCCTTGCTGATCGAATCGGATGCGGGTTGAATATCGTTAATTCTGAGTGGTCGTGCCACTAATTAATCATGAATTAGCTTAAGACGGGATTAGCTTCGTTAGTTATCGTGGGGTCGGATTCTGACCCATACACACAGACCTTACCCCTATTTTGAAAAGATAGAGAAGTTATTTTCGATTGACCCTCGACTCCTTTGGCAAGACCATTTTACATAAAAAGTAAGATTTTCATTGTAACACAACCAATATATAAGAATGAAATAAAAACAAAAAACAAATACATTGTAATTCTCATTTCTCAATGCCCATTCCCTTCTTTTAAAATTCATGAACAGTAAAACCTTCCATCTTCTCTTCTAAACTTTTCAATTTCCCCTTTTAGGAATTTTTTTACTTTTTCTCCTTTCCTTCCACTTCCACAGGTTGCACTTGTTCTGCTTATAAATACACATTCACCACTCTGCATTTTCTCAAGCTAAAGCAAAAAAGAAAAACAGTCCTTCAATTTCCTCTAAAACTTTCCCCTTTATTTCTCTCTCATTTCTATTCTTCAAAAACAAAACAAAATTAATAAAAAAAACTCCAAAAATAAAAAAGAAAAAAATGAGAACAGGAAGTGGTTTTTCTACTTCATTACCAACAATAAAAGCTACATTTTCACCGCCGGCGATAGTACAAAGATCGCCGTGGCATTCACCGGTGCCGTACCTCTTCGGCGGATTAGCAGCCATGTTAGGATTAATAGCTTTTGCTCTACTAATATTAGCTTGTTCTTACTGGAAACTCTCTTCCCATTTAAGAGAACATGACGATAATCAGTCACAAGATGATACTGAGGCCGGCGCCGGTGAGAAACTGGCGACCGGAGTTGTGAAGGCGGTGCCGGAGTTTGAAGAGAAGATTGTTGTTATAATGGCTGGCGATTTGAACCCAAGTTTTTTGGCTACGCCTATGTTAAATAAAGGCGCTGCCGCAACTTTTTTAAATAAATGTGAGGAGAAATTGGAAAAGAGAATTGAAGAGAAGGAGAAATTAGAAGAAGTAGTGATTGAGGTTAGAGAAGAGAGTAATGGAGATTCTCAACACAGCCATGGACAAAACCAGTGAGCTCAAAATATAGCCTGATCGTTTCTTCTTTCTTCATCTTCTTTTTTTTGGGTTGATAATCCTTTTTTTAATCTCCTTTTTTGCTTGAATTTCCAGTTTTGAGATCACAGGGAATTGTATATTATCGGTTGAGATGAGAAAGTGTGTAAATTTATTTTCTATTATTTTATTCTCTGTTCCATTTTATATTTTATAATGTTTTTGGTTCTCCATTCAGTATCTAATATTTCATTGGCGCTCGACTAAATTTGAATTTGTATCGAAAAGTCTAACGTTGGACGATAAAACACTCCATAACATAAGTGACACCATACACATAATATGTTCCATTTTTATATTTTATATGACTATATTTAGAAACTCTTTAATTTTAAACTTTTTTGTTATATGGAGGTCGTAAAAGTTTTATGGGGTGCTTAAGACTAAATAGCGTAAATTTTAAGAATATTTTTGGCATGTGCCAAATATTTATCTTTCTTTATAGACTTTGTATTCCATTAAATATCACCATATAAAATAAATGAAACGGAGTAAGTATATATATGGGTGATTAGGCTTCAGCATAAGACTAATGCAATTGAAGTAATGAGTTGTAAGTGAGCTAGAGTTAAATAGTTACTCGTATATATTGGCCTCCTAATGTATTCTTTTAGAAAGTGTATTCAGTATTGTATATTATAGCCACTTAAAAATAGATGACTTAGCCATCATTTTGGAAGAGTTAAGTTTATGGAGTAATAGAGTTCTATTTTTCTTGTTAACAATGTTTTTCTTTCATTACGTTGCATATAATAAAGGTACCAAGGCGAATGTGCTGTTAATTAGTAATATTCATGAAATGAAAAACTTTTAGTAAAATTTTTAGAAAACTAAAACGGCATCCTTTAATATAGTTGAAAGGAAATTGGAGCTAATTTTGATTTTAGAAAGTTGACAATTTATATGTTTAAGGATATGAATAGTATAGACGCTTCTCTCTAACTTACATAATTATAGAAACATCCATTCTTGTTCTAAATTCGATTACAATAGCTGTTTGACTCAAAAGATACTATATACCTTATAATTATAAGTGAGAACAATCAAAGTGAATCAAGGATCAATCGTAAACGAAGATAATAAGACCTAGATATGTGTATTATATTTGTTATAGCTTCCAATAGATTGGATATTCAAGAGAGAGAGAGGGAGAGAGCTTGTTCAATAAAAAAATACCCTCCCTTCTACAACATTGGGATCCTCCTTTATATAATAGGAAACCCTCCTTAAAATAATAAAATAATACAGAGATTGGTCGCGTTCCTTCGAGAGAGACGACGGAACCGATGATACACTTCACGCCGACATTCTTAGGTTGTGCCTTCACTTCGGTTAGCGTATATTCGTTGGTCGTTCCTACCAACGTGGAGACGTAATGGGTAGAATTTGACCCTATACAGTTAGTCCCTCCGTTCGTCGGCGACGCATCGAGGTGCGTCCCCGATGGACGGAACAGCGAACCTTATTCTGGGAGAATTTGACCATGCTTGAAGACGGCTGCATGAATGAGAGTGAACGAGTGAACATTTGAGTTTATTGAAATGCTGACGCGCGGTTTCTTTCTCAAAGTGACGTCATCACACGCAGGCGTCATCATTACCGTCTTCTCGAGGAAGCGCAAAAGGTGTTCTGATGCTCGGTTTCCCGCGCCCGTTTGAATTCCGCCTCTTCGATTTCAACGCCACCCAACCCTATAAATAGGGGAAGGGTTTAACTTGATCCAACTTTCGATCATTTGCAAGCATTTTCTGACCTTCTAAGAAGGCACTTCCTTTCTTCAAAACCCCACTGTTTCTCAGAAACCACACTTTTCGTTGTGTCATACACCGTTTCCTGAACGAAAATTATGGTAAAGCCCCGACGGGATAATAATCCGAAGGCTCTTGATATACGCCATCCGATGTACCGCCTCCATCTGGCGGTGATGAGGGAGATGGGGAAGAGGAACTCACCCCCCTTACCGTGGACAACGTGTTACCGAAGCAACTTCTTGTCAGGAGAGACTTCCAAAAGGATTCCCTCGCGCAACCCTCGGAGAGTTCTGAGTTAACGCAGGATGACTTAGATGACCTTCGTACGTCGTTCGGCATACCTGCTCATGTGGAGATGGTCCCGGCGGGGACGGATTATGCGAACGTCCACAGACCGGGATATTGCTCGTTCTATGAATATCCTTTTTTAATTGGTTATGGTCTTCCCATCTTTCCCTTGGTAGAGGAGCTTTGCCGCTTTTACAACATGTGTCCATCCCAACTTACTCCGTACACCTTAAAAGTATGCAGGATAATGTCTACATACGCAGAGCTGGCTAGGTGTGAGGTCTCCATCCACCACCTTTTGCAGTTGTTCAGCGCCAATTATCTAAGGGGTACCATGCTGCATCTGAAGAGCCGTGGTTCGAAGGGGCTGGTCATCAAGACCGATGACCGACCCAGCCGCGGTTATTGGCGTAGGTACTTCTTTATTAAAACGGAGCACCTGGTGTCTGACCCTGTCGGGTTCCCAGAGAGGTGGAATTCGAAACGTAAGCGTTTCCATCCGTCGAATTCTTCATCATACGTGACCTCAGCGGTTCTGGTCGCACCATCGTTATGACTTTTTCCTTTTATTTTGCAGCAATGGCTCACGCACCCCGGTTCATCACTGGTATCAAGCAATGGGTAGCCGGTTTGCTGCCTTACGCGGAAGAAACCCGCACATGGTCCGCATTCCTTCAACGCTACGGCCCCGTAGGACCTTCAGGTAATCCTGTGACTTTAGTCTGTTGTTTCCACAAACTTCATCAACTGAACTATTTGTGTCGACAGGTCGAAGCGTTCCCAAGAAGAAGGCGACGATATCTACCCCCGCTCGATCGGATATCGGCCCGGATGCTCGAGGAGATACTTTGCGCATCTGTCAGGGAGGGTGTTCCCGTAGTTCCTTTACATGGGGTTACGCCTATAGAGGCGACTACGAATGAGGCGACACCTTCGACACCATCTCCGCAGCCTGCGGATGAGCCTTCCGAGGGCGGGGAGCCTGAGGAGAGAAAAAGGCGGAGGCTTGAAACGGGCAAGGCGGTAGCGACCGAGGATGAGAGGAGTAACGTCCCTCGTCAAACTCCTAGACCCGTCTTCATGGCCGACGCTATTCGTTCGGGGAGGCCGGCCCATCAGGCGAGTGCGGCTGCCGATGCTAGCTCAGTTCGTGCTGCTGAGGTTGGCTCGACATCCGCCGTTGGCGGGGATGCTGAGGGATCGGACCCTGAGATCGCCCAAGAAGATATGGACGGGCTGGCGGAAGGCCTCACGCATGTGGAGATGACGGCGGACGGGTCCGATCGCCGAATCGTGATTCCGGGGGCTTATAACTTATTGCAACACAGCGAGCAGGCAGCGTTGGAGATTGCTTTGTTATGCGCCGCCCCCGAGTGTGAAATGCTAAGAGCTGTCAGTGATGCAGAGCTATCTCGAAGGGTCGCCGGCATGACTTTACAGGTAAACTTCTGTTCTTCCGCGTGTTGTGAGGTTGACTTTGATGTTTACTAACTCATGTTTTCTCCTTAGACCCTTGTTTTGGAGGCGGAGAGGAGACGTCGTTAGCAGAAGAAAGCGACCATTTTCAATAAAATGGTGGAGAAGTATAAGAGGTGCCGCTCCAAGCATCAGGCGGAGGTGGACCCCCAAATTCGAGTGTTCCGGGAAGGTCTTGAACAGAAAAAGATGCAATTGAAGCGCAGGGTGGCCGAGTTGGAGAAGACTGATGAGGAGTTGGTGAAGGCTGTGGCTCGTAACAGTGAGCTGGAATCACTCCTCAAATAGAGAGAAGAGGAATTGGAGCTTAGTCGTGGGGTGGCAGCAGAGGTTGCCGATTTGCACCGTAGGGTGGCAGCCTTGACTGCCGAACTCGGAGTCAAGGTGGCAGAGGTCGACGCTCTTAGGCGTACTGTCCCACCAAGGCCTGGAGACGTGTCTCGACCTTCTTTTTCCCCGCTCTTGTCTGACAAGGATGCGCATCGCGATGCACATGAGATGTGGGTTTATGCGGAGGCCTGACTGGACGTATACAAGAAACTTCTCGTTGCGGGTCGTGCTACTGAGGAGGAGGTTCAGGAGCAGTGGCGTGAGGCTCGTGCTGCTCGGGCAGTCTGCGGATATAGTTTCGACTCCCCTGACCGGGAGGGCTATGCTACAGAGGACATTAATCGACTGGATTCCGACTCCTGGTTCAATGAAGCTTACCGCCTCGGTGGTGACGGTCGAGATGGCGAACAGACGGGGGGCGATGGGCATGATGGCGAGGCTCCTTAGAATTTGTATATGTTTTGCTTTTTGTAGAATGTAATAGGGGCCCTTTGCGGGACCGAATGTATATATTTTTTGTCACAATGTGTGAATCACACCGTTGTTGTTAATTCTTTTTGTGTGATTCTTTGTTTTTCGGAACTTCACCTTCGCAGAGCTGGTATCTGTCTGTTGTAGAAGATTCGTCGCCTCTGGGTAACGCCGAGGTGGTATAGGCGGTCTCGGGGGTGGTCCCCTGGGGCTAAGCACCGTCGTAGATAAGTCGAAACCCGATCTTAGTGAATAAACAAGACGAAATCTTAACCGTTGTTTGAATATTGTTCGTCGTAATCGAGCTTGACTGACGCTTAATGGCGATGGCTTTTGCCAAGGGGATGTTACTTTGACTGTCGTCGAAGTGTCATCCATCGTCGTTAAACGGGGTCGGCATTTATTGGTGATGGACTTAACCAATAGGATGTAACTTCAACTATCATTGAAGTGCTATCCGTCGTCGTCGAGCAAGGTCGACGTTTAATGGCGATGGCCTTAGCCAATAGGATGTAACTTCAACTGTCGTTGAAGTGCTATCCGCCGTCGCCGAGCAGGGTCGACATTTAATGGCGATGGCCTTAGCCAATAGGATGTAACTTCAACTGTCGTTGAAGTGCTATCCATCGTTGTCGAGCAGGGTCGACGTTTAATGGCGATGGCCTTAGCCAATAAGATGTAACTTCACCTGTCGTGAAGTGCTATCCGTCGTTGTCGAGCAGGGTCGACTTTCAATGGCGATGGCCTTAGCCGTTTATACAATGGAGGTGGTGGCCTTAGCCGTTTACACAATAGAGATGGTGGCCTTAGCCGTTTACACAATGGAGATGG